TAATATACACTTGTTGTGTTAGGCTTTCATAGACCATATCTTTTAACTCTCATCCGCCAGGTAAGATAGACATTAGTGTTCCCATCTTTACCTAAGGTGAGATTGAAGCTTGGAGTCTTTGCCTGAAAAAGCAGCTGAAAAGCCAAAAGTTTCAGTCGCTGCACTTCTGGATTCACTATGCTTTTCTAGAGATAAGTTTAGACGAATTACTAGTTTCACTCAGTTCAGAATAACTCTTTCAGGTACCAGAACATCGCTAACGAACCTTTACAGTTCTGTAGTTCTGGTGCACCAGCCAGAAGTTTGTTGTAATGATGAATGAATCCCCTTCCGAGCTCTCCGCGTTCTCTCTAGAAACATTGACAGTTTGAGAACTTCACTTCCCAGCAGGCGCCGCAGCTACTGATCTCGCGATATTTGCAAAAGACACCCACCCACTCTGGCCGAACTCCCAACGATGGCGGACCACGTTTCCGTTTGACCTCTTGACGCGCAGCATGCTGGGATGTGTAGTCTATCCGGGGCTGGGACGCCCCCTCGGATGAATGGGGCCTCGTCTGATTGCGAACTACAGTTCTTCCGCGGGCAGAGTCGGTGACTGCCTTAGGGGAAGAGAGAACCGCTGCGACCCTAGAGGAGACAGCACCCCAGAACGGTGGCGATGTGCTGTGCAGGCTTCCTGGGGTAGCGGTATAAGCGGGTGCTTGCCTTGCACGCTCGCTCCTCTTCCCTTGCACAGGCAATGCGCCCGGCCTTTGCGGTGGGCCTGGTGTTCGCAGGCTGCTGCAGTAACGTGATCTTCTTAGAGCTGCTGGCCCGGTGAGTGACCCGCTTGGACCCCACCCCTGTTCTGGGGACTGCTCTGAGGAATGTAGAGCGGTGGCGGACTGACTGAGCTCCGCTCTTGTCTGTGCAGCCTAGGAAGTTCTGAGCATCGCGCGCTATCCCGCCTAGCAGTTTCACAGCATCCCCGTGAGGGGAACACCCGGAGTACTGCTGTCGTCACCCTGTTTCCGCACCCTTGGGAACTGAAGCTTGCAGAGTTTTTAAGAGACCTGTCCATAGAGCTAGTTAGTGGCAGCACTCTGGGTTTCTTTGCCAAGCCACCCTCTCCTTCACTTCCCATCCAACTCCTACTCTTCTTCCTGTTTTTGGCACTTGCCTGACTTGAGCAACATTTTTTGAGTTTATAGAGTAGTCTAATTTTGTACACACTGCAGTTTCAGTTTTACAGCACCCCTGTTCGGCAAAGCACTGATTTTATTGGCCATGTGCATGGTTATGTGTACCTTGTCCAAACATGCATCTCAATGACGTTGAACAGATAAATTATTTATGTAAAATAATGGTCAAAGAGACCTTTTCCATTTTAAGGTATCACAGTCTTTAAATTGAGAAATGTAGGGAATGGGAAGGGGACATTACCAGGATCTTTGCTTTGGGCCACCACAGCACAAGGCGAATTAAAGAACAGTCAGGAAACGAGACTTAAGAGTGAGGACGCCAGTTCTTGGGACCTGGTCAATTCTGCTGATGGCAACAAAGACAGAGGCCCCCAAGATTATCCATTATTTGTTGAACACAATTGTGGGAAGGAACAGGGAGCAGGGTAGGCTTAGACAGCATCTAGTGAAAATACTGCCGAACACCTGACATGGTGGTGCCAGGCAGGGCTGTTAGGGAGTAAGCACTGCTTATCATGCTTGGATAGAACAAACTGGTACTGGGACCAGGTGCAATTAGGAAGTAACCCATCAGGCCAGTGAGAAGCCATAATTTAGGGGAAAGGATTTTAATTGGGGTTACTCTGACCTCAGCTGCATGTAACACAGCAGAGCCCTGCCACTTCATAGATCAGGACTTAGGCCTCGGTGACAGCCATTAGCAAAGGAGCAGTGCTAGCCTAACTCTGCTACCTGACCTACCCATTTGAATCATGTAAGGGTTTGGTCTCACTCCTGATATAAAATAATACAGCCAAATTGAGGGAAGCAGCGTGTGCCACTCTTAGCCTGCTAGTACTGAGCAGGGATGTCTGCTACAGAGAAATAATGCATTTTGAAATGTGACTATAAATTAATGGCTATAATGCTTTTCCAGAGAGAAAGTAGCTTGGCTTGCAGATAGTGTTGAATGAAAATGTGCAAAGTTTGTAGGACAGAAACTCTTACCAATGAGGCAGGTGGGGTGGGAAAGGCTCAGGATTTAAAAACCCAAAGTTAAAAATTTCTGTCTTAGCTTGGCATCTTCTAGCGGTGTGGCATTTTCAAGTCACTTTGACTCTGTAGACTTTTTTTCCCTGCTGTTAAACAGTATCTGTGGTGCAGTCTAGCTCTATGTTTTCAGTGTATATATTGTCTTCACTAGCTATCCAAACACTTCCATGGTCAATAGTTATATTCCCTCTTCTGCTGAAAGTGAAACGGGTTCCAAGAACTTAGATAATCTTTCACTGCACGTAAGTGTCAACAACTGGCAGCAAAGGTGTCTGAAGTCCTAACCTGGTATCTTTTTCTGCCTCCCTGTTAATTTTGAGCTTGAGCAGTCTATAGATCTTGGTCATCCAATTCTTTGGCTACCTTTCCAGTGAATGGCACTCTGCAGCAATATTTGCTGAATTTTTTTTAATCACCTGAAGTAGTAAAGACATTCATAAAAGAAGACTTCCAGAAGTGCTTCATAAAATGGCAGTAAAGATGGGATAAGTGCATTTGAAGATAGGGGGAGTATTTTGAGGGGTGCTAATGGCAGTGTGTCTTTTATTTTAATTATTTTATTTTATTTATTTATTTATTTATTTATTTATTTATTTATTTATTTATTTATTTATTTTTGGTACCGGGGATCGAACTCAGGTCCTTGTGCTTGCAAGGAAGGCGGCGGAACAACTGA